CCAAAGAACTCCCTGTGCTTGATAAGAGAATGACTCAAAGCTACATAAGTCCAGAGCAAACAAAGAGAAAATCAAGTTTATGAAACCAGTCCCATTACTCTGGGAGCAGAGACCCTGACCTGCTGTGTTAGTCAACTTTCTGTCCTTGTGGCCAAAACATCTGAAATAGAGATAAACACATTGAATGGAGATTTAAAGATTTATTTTGGCTCGCTTTTTCAGAGGCTTTTCCCAGGCCACGACTGACTGGCTGCATTGCTTTTAGGCTTGTGGTCAGGCAGAAGCACATGGGGGAGCAAAGCTGCTCATTTAGTAATATCCAGGAAGGAAAATGGCAAAAGGGCTAGGGGCCCAAAAATCCCCTTAAGGGACCGCCTTCCCCATTACCTAACTTTCTTTTCCTGGGCTGCACCTCTTAAAGATTCCACCATTTCCCAGTGGTGCCACAGGATGGTGACCAAGCCTTTGACACATGGTTTTGGGGGACACTGCAAATCTAAACTGTAACACCTGTTTGGAAAGCTGGAGTCTTAAAAGGCTAAGTTAAAGTGGCTTTCATGTGTCAGTTCCCTCTGTTCAATTGCAGAGAGGAAATAAGCAAAATAAAGGAAAACAGGAACTTGCCTAGAGCTAATAAGAAACTGAAAAGACAATGACAGGACAGCAATAAGGAGAAGAAAGAGAAGCCAAAATGAGTGGGTGAAATTCAGCTCTGTTTGCTTTTGCTCGTAGATTATAAAAGCTGGTTCTGCACATGTATATATTCACTGTGCAGCAAATACTTATGGAGAGTTACTATTTACTAGGCTGCATTTCAGCAGAATGTTCCCAGTTGTAACTTTAGCAGGAACTACACAGTCTCCAAGCATGAAGATTTCATTTTCTGCAGGCAACTAGAAGCAGAAGCCAGGTCCGTTCTTCATACTGACACAGCAGTTTGGCCATATTAAGCATCAGGATCTCCATGAAATACAGTATTTCAGCAACATGCTCACTCCCTTCCACCAATTCTGTCCTGCACTTTCTGTCAGGAAGAGTCAGCCCCCAAGCTTCTGGGTTCAGCAGCATCTGGGATCCAGGCCACGCAAAAAGCTTGGATCCAAAAGCCATCCTCCCTCTTGTCAGCCCCAAACCTTCAATTCTCAAATGTTCACACTGCACAGACTTGTACATCCCCATCGCAGTCTAACGTGCCTGGCTCCAGCTGAACTTGTGTGCCACAGTGATCGCTTCAATTCACAAACTACCCAGTGCTTTAAGAAGGGTGTGTGACTAAAATGCTGGTCTTTATTTTCTATAGTCACCATCACAGGACAAGCAATGCAAACATATCTTACCATTCAAGACAAGAAAGATTGGGGTTCCCTCCAAAAGGAAGCCACCATAGAATTAATCCCCCAGTCGTATATTAATAAATGACCAATTAGTTCTAAGCCTCCCACAAAGAGTCCCCAATAATAATAACAGAATCTCCTTGTTGTTTTTAAAATCACTCTGTCTATAATAAAATTATCATGAAGTAATTCAACTTTCTCCTTGGCAAGTTTTCTTCTGAGTCAGGCTTTCCCAACTCTCCTTCCCCAGAAAGTATAAAGAGAAAACAACTAGGACTCAGATAGTTTCCAACAGTTTCAGGAGCACATGAAGACATGGCCCATGGGTAAAAACAAAGAACATAAAATACTATGAAAATAATTCCACATTCCTGATTTGGCCACTTCATGTAGAATTCTAGATCTCAGCAAGAATAGGATGTGTACAATATTACTTCCCCCTATTTAGTAACATTGCCACCAAATGTAAATGCACTCTTTATTTTTCCTAAGGGCCCATGTGGACAGCATTCCCATTTCTTCTTTCCTGGTGCTGTCTGGTCTCTGCGGCTCTCCCTGGTCTCCTAGATCTGAGACTTCCCTTGGCTGACACCCAGTCCAGATTGGTAAGAGGAAGATACTGTCGCCAAGAGACCATCGTCCAGGGCCCTGGCTTACAATCCAGGGCTCTCTAGGGCTCCTTTAAATTCTCATGAGGATGCGCCATGGCAACCTTCCTAGAAGAAGCTTTTAAAGGACCTTCTGTTTAACTCTAAAGCGGCCTCAGATGACGAGGCACCATCACTGCTACTGATGTTGCAGCTCTGAGCAGCCATTTTCCCCGTCACTCCCCTAGTAGGAGCAGGCAGGATTGAACAACCAGAGCAGGACTGAACAATCATTCCTTCTGTCAGTGACAGAGGGTGAGGTTGTGAAACACAAGGATTCTACAGAGTCAGTCCTGGCTTGTCTACCTCTCAGCTATGACAGTGGGAAAGTTATTTAATTCTTCTGTGTCTTCATTCTCTAACCTCTGCCATATGGGAATGACAATAGCACCTGGCTCATGGGGTTGTTGTCAGAATTAAGAAAGTTAGTGTGAGGAATGGTTTCAAAAGCTTTCAAGCAGAGTGTTCACTCAGTAAATACAGCTATGGCCTTAGGAGGATTTTAAAAGAAAGGGAAAATATAAGTGATAATACTAAAAGTGAAATCCAGGTGTAAAGGCAAAGGAATTGTCTGGAAAATTCAGAAGAAAAGATCTTTTGAGTGAGAAGGGTAATGGAGAGCAAGAATGGAGTCTATTTCCCTTATGCAGAGAAGCCGTCTAAGTGTTCCAGCTCCCAAGACACCTGCTGCCTGAGACCAGCTGGTCAGCATCCCACAAGAGGCAGACACAAGGGTCCTTTGTTCAGTTTACCACTTCCAAGCTTCTCTCCCAACAGGGAGAAGAATAGAAGGAGGAAGAGGAGGAGAAAAAAGAAGGGGAGGAGAGAGGAGGAGTATGATTTTGTTTTTCCATCTGTGCTTAATGTTCCTTCTTCCCCAGAGGGGAAACTGGGAAGGAGCAGCTTGCCCTTTGTATCACCCTGGCAACCTGAATTCTTTTACTCTTCCAGGAAATTGTAAACAAAATAAATTCACTGAGTTGGCATTCTTTTCTGTCTTCCTTCTCCAGTGGCTAGTGCTTTCAAAGAAAAGTGTCTCATGACTGCTTGAAATATGTGTTAGATCCCTTCAAAATACATTTAATAACATCAAGTGAACAAATCTGAGAAAAGTTGATAAAATGAGTGTAGAGGTCTCAGTGTGCTCAGAGTTGCAGACTTCTGAGGACAGGCACCCCATAGAATATAAGTAGCTGATCAAAGGTATATTTAAATCCCTGTTAGACAAAGAAAGGACAGAGGAGGAAGGAGATGTAAGAAGAAAGGTTAAAGGAAGAGAGGAAGATATCTTTAGGCAGGGACCACATTATGGGCATGTGACCAGTATAGCCACAGGAAGTCAAGTGCTCAGAAGAAAACCATGTGCTTGAGGTAGACAGTGCTCTGTGATCGCCATCTGGAAATTCTCAGTTGTTTTGTAAGTAATGTCTGATAGGACAGCGGAGACTCCAGTCACACAGTACTGCCTCCCAACTTCCCGGGACAGATTTTCAGCCCTCAGCTCCTTGCCTCCTGGCCAGCCACCACTGCTGTCTGCTGTCCCTGGCAAGGCCTGGCACAGACAGACTCAGAGAGGATGAAGCTTGCACATGTGCCCTCCTGCAAAGCAGGTCACAGTCACTTGTGAGGGTCTGAAATCATGGGAAGAATCCCCAGAGTGTGACACAATAACATAGAAATCACTGTGACAGGTCTAAAGAGACATGATAACACATCATTATGCCACTGGTCCATTTTTTACCCATGATCATTTCCTGGTTGCTTTCTTTAAAATTGCTTTTTCTTTTTGGCATATTATGAATTGAACCCAGGGACTTCACACTGCCTAAGTTGCCCAGGCTGAGCTTGAATTTAAGATCCTCCTGCCTCAGCATCCCACAGTGCTGGGATTATAAGCATGGCCACCATGCCTAGCTAACCATAATCTTATGGGGCTTTCTTAACATAAAAATTATAGCCAGACAGAGTGGTACACACTTGTAGTCCCAGTTACTTGGGAAGCAGAGACAGGAAGATCACTTGATCCCAGGAGTGCAAGATCTGCCTGGGTAACATGGAGAGTTGCTACCTCAAAAAGTAAATAAATAAAAGTAACTGTGCCAGTTTTCAATCTTCACAGGGAAACAATATGAACGGACCTAATGAAAAAATAGTTGTTCAGATGTCTGTCCATCGAACTATGTCTGATGTTAGTCAACTTTACCTATATTTAAGTACCTCCTTAGTTCACTAATTATGGCAGAGAGTTTATCTCTTAGGGGACACAAAAATCCCTACAGAAAACTGAGGTAAGTGGAAATTTGTTGGTAATATTAAATGAAACTTCTGGGAGGACATTGATTTGAACTAGGTCTCCACATTAGGCCCCAACAGACAGATTATAAATCAAAACAGAGTTCTGGGCTTAAGTTTCAGCTCTCCTGACCAAAAGCAACTTGTTATTTCACTTTCAGAAAAATCAGCAGAGAGAAGGAGAGAGGTAATAGCTAAATTTCCCAAACAGACCAATGGGCATGACAGAGTTCTTCTTTAATTCTTACATTCTTTCATTCTTATAAAAAGTAACCTGAAGTAATCTGATGTCAACCAGTTATTTTTTTGTTCTTCTGTCTCTCCGTCCCTGCCTTAAAAGAAAAGTAGCTTTGAAATGATCAATCTGGTCTTTGTTGTTTCCACTGTTTTCAGCCATTCTTTGTCTGTACAACCAAACTCTTCCAGTCAGCCCATTGGAAAACACTTATTGGAGTTTATAGAATGAGGACTTGCCTGACTTTAGAATAAAAAATAAAACTAATCGACATCTTGCCTACATTGTTGTAATTTTGTCCTTTCAGAGATTATTTGTATGGAATATATTTTCTTTTTCTTTTTTTTTTCCTTTCCTGCTCTCTGCCTTTCTCTGTGTCTGCTTCTCTGTCTCCCTGTCTCTGTCTCATATTTTTTTTATTTCATATTTTTATCTTAACAGGAAAGAGCACAGGCTTGGTCATCATGGACTTTCTTTGACTCTGTTTTTCAGAGTGGAAATAGAATCTTATGTTCCATCATTCTGAGCCACCATCAGGGGCCGTCTATCATCAACTACGATGACGAGAGTGGGAAGACGTGCGCACACATTGCCGCAGCCGCGGGGTTCAGCAACATCATTAGTGAACTGGCAAGAGTCCCTGAGTGTAACCTGCAGGCTCTGGATGTGGACGACAGGTATCCGTGGCAACTCAGAAAATTCTGGAAACTACCAAACATCCCCCCCAAATGTTAATCGTAAAAGAAAGATGCTTAAGGAGTCATTCTATATGACTATATCCTTCTTGCCGGTAATACGTGTTTATGGCAGTAAAAGTTGCTCTATTCTAGTAAGAGAAGGGAAAATCATTGTTATGGAGAGAAGTGCTGTGACTATGGTATTGTCAGATTTTCCACTTTTTTGTAAATGTTTTTAGTGTTCTAAGAAGGCTTTCTGTAGATCAGCTTCCTGCTGTATACTCTTTCTGATCTTAATGGTAGGTTTTATTTTCTTCTTCATTCCTGGATTATGTCATAAGTTAACAAGTTCTTGTTATTCAGAGGAGAGCTTAAATGAGGTTTTAGTTTCAAAGCCAAATGGGCTCATAGAATCGCATGGGACCTTATCAGGTTTCTTTCAATCACTGAAATTATATTGGCTGGAAAAGGAAGATGGGTACAGAAAGTTGAAAAGATTTATCTCAGTGCCAGTTAGCACCTCCGCGGAGGTTTGCACCTGTGACTTCTAAATTTAGAACATTTCACCTACAATGTCCTGCCTGCCTAACCATTGTTTTTGTTAGGCACCGAGTCAAGGGAAATACAAGGAAAATATAACAATGGCTGTTGAAAAGAAGTACAAGGTTTACATATTATGTTTGGTTTTGTACCCTTTTAAAGTGTAAAATTAACCACTTGCTTATCATAATTTTAGATGTCCTATGAAGGCATCTCCCCCAATATCTGGAATTATTTTAACATAAGAAAAATAGAGATACCACATGGGTGTTAGAAGCTGCAGGTGGTTAGCATGTTGATTTTAATTACAACTAAGGTATAAATCATTGAAATTAGACTTTTCCCTAAGAGCAGGTGTTGATCCCGAGCAGGTCAGAAGGAAGTATGTTAGCATGAAGAGAAAAACTGAAGGATTCATAAGGAAAAGAAAGGAAGAAATTTCAGAAAGAAGGGCAAAAGAGAAGCTTTCCTACATCAAAATACCCCTAGAACTAGCTCTGCACACACTTAGTACAGACAATCCAGTTCCCTAGGCCTCAGGGAAGAAAGAAAAAGGCAAAGAAAGAGTACGGAAGATCAGGTCCTATGCGATTTGAAAGGGAAGTATAAGCTCAAAGAGAGTCCAGTTCTTGGCGGGGCATGGCGCCACATGCCTGTAACCTCAGCTAGTTGGGAGGCTGCCTGGGCAACTTAGTGAGCCCTTGTCTTAAAGTAAAAATTGAAAGGGGCTAAGGATGTAGCTCAGTGGTAGAGCTCTTGCCTGGCATCTTCTGTGAGGCTCTGAGTTCAATCCCTGTGGTTAGGGAAGAAGGAAGAAAAATAGAGCCCAGGTCCTGCTTGAACGTTCAACTCAAGTGCCACATTTACCGGTCAGTCATTTTAATGCCAGTGTTTTGTTTCATGCTGAACACACAACCATGTCTTCACACTGACTCCATAACATCCTGTTAGTCATTTGATTTTTCAAAATTTTCATAGGTTTAAGTGCTTTAAGTGTTTGCAACCATTATGACTTCCCTTTCCTAGTGAAAGATTTAACTACAGAAAGTTTTTATGAGACGAGAAGGGGAAAAAATAAGTAATTTTTTTTTTAAATACAGAGGGAAAATGGAGAACTAGTCCTTCTACACATAAAAGCAATCGTAAATCTGTGAAATTACAAACATTGCAGTACTTACCTAAGATTAATGACACAGAATGCACGACCTAGAAACAGCACATATATTTTAAATGAGCCAAAATTCATCAATCTATGAGGTCACAATTCACTCTTCTAAGCAATGCATTTATCTTCAGGGAGGATAGTGTTTTATCAAGTTCTCCTCCCTGTGTATTTCTGGGAATGCTCTGGACAGTGTTCACATGTTTTGTAAATGAGTTCTTGGCTACTGACCTCACCCATTGCTGCCTCCTTACTCCCACCCTCTCTTGAGGTCTGGAGATCACCACCTCAGCCCGCTGCTTGTCACTGCTGTTTCTTCCAAATCATGGGCCCTGAACTTCAGCTCCCTGTGGGACGGCTGAGATCAGTCTGCTGTGTTTGCAGTACTATCCTGAAGCTTAGCAATAAGAAAGAAACTATTGAAACTTGAAATCCAGGGCTACACATTTGTCACCAAAGCCCTTGGTGCATTAACCAAATGTCATCCATATGTTCCCCTCATTCCTCAGTGAGATAATTTAAATCCTCCCATTCCACCATACTTCTGGGTCTCTTCCATACTGATGGTAAGAGGAATTAAAATAGTCTCCCTTAGCAAGTCCTGTAAGTGGGGCATGGAATTCACACAGCTTCAAAGTAAATTGCTGCATGTTGGTAAACCTGACTAGATCAATGTTCAACCCTCCACTACTGACTTTATTGGTAGTATATTCTCTAAATGGGATGACACAATCTACTGGTGCTTCATATTGTAGAATAAATAAGGTCATCTGGAAACCTTTCCTGCATAAAATGAAACAAATCATGCCTGCCATTTTCAAACAGGAGGCGTGATAGATTGCAGAACTGAAAATAATATATGGCTATATTAGATGCCATAAAATTGCTACTATAGCATAACTTAAGGAGGAGAAGGATGTTTAAGTGACAGAGGACATAATCTATGGGTGGGGACAAGGAGGCCATGCTGTATACATTTGTGCTGCCCAAATGCTCAGTCCAAGCCCCTTCATAAAAGGCCTCAACTGAGTCTTCCCTGCTCAGCCCCCGCCTGCCTCCACACCTGCAAGTTTGCTTGGGTGTCTCAAGAGCACACATCTGCCTAGGGTTCAGGCCTTAGCACCAGGCTGGGGAGAGGCCTTCCCGGCCCTCCTTTACAGAAGAAAGCAGCCATTATTTTTCATGGAAAGCCCCATTCACAGGAACGGTGCCTTGCCCTTTGCTTCTCCCCTCCCCACCCTCCAGAAAAAGTAACTGTGGGACACAGTAGTGTGACCCCAGTATGTCATCCAAAATACAGTTTACTCAGTCTTGACTTAAACCATGTGGAGAATCAAGTGTGCCAAGGAAGCAAAGTGCTGGTCCACTGCTCTTGAATCCAGCCATTCTTTGTTCTCTTATTGCCTTAGTGGAACATCCGCCTGACAGCAGCAAGGGCTGCAGGAATCTCTTTCTAGGATTAGGGAAGAAATCACCCTTTGTAGACTTAGTTCAGTGTTTTTCCCTTGCCCCAGATCTGCTCTCAGTTTAGAGTTTGGCTTTTAGCAATAGAAAGATTCTTTTTCTTATCTCCCCCTCCCTGGTATTCAGCACAAAATCTACAATTTCTTGGGGCATAAGGAAAAGAGGAAAGGTAGAAAAATATGTAAATTGGTCAGGCTATAAAAATATGACACTGTCGCGTTAATAAGTGGCACTAAGAAAAGTTAGCCATGTATTGGGAAGATAGATTGGCTCCCTGCCTCAATGCGCATAAAACACACAGAGACACAAGCATGGTTTTTCTATAAATTTTTAATCCATACAAATCTGGGAGAAAATATTGGTTTTCTTTTTATATACATACAGTAAATTTTTTTTTTTTTTGGTATACAAGTCTATGAGTTTTTAGTGTATGTGCTGCTGAAGCCTATGAGTTTTAACATGTAATCACTGGGGATATAGCTGAGTGGCACAAGCACCTGTCTGGCAAGCATAAAGTCCTGAGTTTAAGTGCCGGTACCAAAAAACAAACAAACAAAAACATAATCACCACAAAACAGAACAATGTCAGAATCAACTCTTGTTGCCCTTCTACAGTGAAGCCCCTCACATCCTAGGCCCTGGCAAGCACTGATTGACTCTCTCTCTTTCTTGTTTTGCCTTTTCCAGAATATTATATACACAGAAATACAGGTTAAATATCCCTTAGCAAAAATGTTTAGGCCCCAAGGGGTTTTTCACTTCTGAAATTTTTGATATTTGGAATATTTCCATATTTTTTTAGACAAGATCTTGCTATATTGTCCAGGCTGGCCTCAGATTCACAGCAATCCTCCTGCTTCAGCCTCCCAAAACTGTATATATAATATAAGATGTGTTGGAATGAGACTCATTTATATGTAAAATCTACATATAAAGAGTAGACTCTTTATATGTAAAATAAGATGTGTTGGAATGAGACTCAAGTAAAAACATAAATTTTTTTACATTTACACACATGACCTAAAAGTAATTTTATACTGTGCTTTTAGTGTGTCTGAATTTTGACTACCACTTGTCACATGGGGTCAAGTTAGAGATTTTCTACTGGTGGTGTTATGTTGGTGCTCAGAAGTCTCAGATTTTGGAGCATTTCAATTTCACACTTTCAGATTAGAGAAGCCTGGCCTGTATACACTATGTAACCTTTTAAGATTGACTTATGTCACCTAGCAGAATATGTTTGAGAGCTATCTATACTGTTACATATATCAGTAGCCTGATCTTTTTCATCACTGAGTAGTATTCCACTGTATGAGTGAAGCACAGTTTATTCATTTTCCTACTGAAGGACACAGGGATGTTTGCAGTTTGAGGCAGTTATGATAGTGCTGTATAAACATTTTAAGAACAGGTTTTTGTGTGAATGTAAGTTTTGTTTCTTTAGCTACATATCTAGAAGTGGGATATCTGGGTCATATAGATAATGTATGTTTAATTTTAGAAGGGATCACCAAATTGTTTTCCAGAGAAATCATTCTATGTTCCCACTAGAAATGTGCAAAAGTTCCAGTTGCTACTATCTTCACCAGCACTTCATATTGTGCACCTTTCCTTTGTTTTGACTTTATTTTGGTCATTTTAATAGGCATGTTCTGGTAAGTCCTTGTAGTTTTAAGTTGAATTTCCCTAAGAACAAATGGTACTGAGCAGCTTTTTACATATTTATTTACCATATATTTATCTCCTTTAATAATGGGTGTATTCTAAGACTTTTGCTAAGTTTTAAAATGGAATTATTTCCCTATTTTTCAGATATGAAAAATTTTATATATTTAATTACAAGCGCTTTGTTTGGTTATATGATTTATAAACATTTACTTTTACTTTCTGGCTTTTCTTTTTATTTTCTTACGGAAGTATTGGTTTTGCAATTGAATAAATGTTTAAATACTGTTGAACATTTATTTACCTCATTGTAAAGAACTTTCCAAGCATAACAATATAAAAGATAAGAATATGGAAAAGTTATGATGATTTTTTTAAACTGTGGAAACATCACTCAAAAATATAGGTCCAGTAACTAATTACAGAATATATTTGCATAAGAATAACCTATAAAAGATTTATATATTTTAATATATAAAAAGCCCATACAATCAGTAAGAAAAACTCTGACACAAAAAAAAATTGGACAAAGGGCAATAAGAGTCATTTCTCTTTTTTTTCTTTTTTTTTTCTTTTTTCTTTTTTTGCAGTACTGGAGATTGAATGACCCAGAGCCTTCACACTGAGCTACATATCCAGCCCCATTTTACTTTTATTTTGAGACAGAATCTCGCTAAGTTCTTATGTTGCCCAGACTGGGCTTGAATTTGAGATCCTCCTGCCTCAGTCTCCCAGAGTTCTGGGGTTATAGCCATGCACCACCATACCCAGCTAAGAGTCATTTCAGTGAAAAACTTCGAATGACTAGTATATTTCAAAAGGAAACAATAGCGACTATCATTTTACCTACCAAACTGGCAAAGGTTTTCAAAGATTGTGATGATAATTGATCTTAGGGAAGGAGTAAGGACTCAGCTATCAGAAGTTGAGTCAGTCTTCCTGGAAGGCGGCTTGGCACTGTGTGCAAAGAACCTTAATACTGTCCTTGCTTTTGACCCACCCCTTCCTCTTCTAGGAAATTCTCAGAGAGGCCAATGAAAGCGGAAAGCCAGAGAATACTTAGAGCTAGAGGAAAGGCTCCGCTACATACTCATCTTCATCCTTATGCTCTGTTTCATACATACTTTTTCCATACTATAAATAGCAACAAGATTTTCCTACTTCACCCTGACTCTGTGTGGGAGCAGTTGCCAGCTAAGCAACCCGTACTGTTTATGTGCTTTCCCCGTGTGGTTCCCGCAGGACCCCCCTGCACTGGGCTGCGGCTGCAGGGAAGGCAGAATGTGTGCAGTCACTGCTGGCGCTGGGTATGGACAGCAACCTGAGGGACATCAACGAGAGCACGCCTCTGGCCTATGCCCTATACTGTGGTCACACAGCCTGCGTCAAACTCCTCTCCGAAGAGAGCAGGTGAGGGTGTCACCAGGCGCTCCCATGTTTCTTCCTCTCAAAAATGTATAAATTGGACAAATTTTCTAAATCACCAATGTGTGAAACCAGCAAGAACATAGTATATTTCTATAAGTAAGTAATTATACGATTCATTATATGCGCTTACTATTATCTAACATACAGTAAAATGTTCTCAGTTATGTGGAACAAAGGAACAGTAAAAGCCTGAATCCATCAGCCTCACATTCACTAGAATCTCTTCTTTCCTTCTTCTCCCTTTCCACGGTCTCTGTTGCCTAAATTGTCAGTTCTGAAGCTTTTCATTCACAGGACCTTTTTATACTCTCAAAAAGTGTTACAGGCCCCAAAGTGCTTTTGTCTTATGGAAGTTACCTCAGCAATACTTTTGGTGTTAAAAATTAAAACACAGAAGGGGCTGGGGATTTAGCTCAGCGGCAAAGCGCCTGCCTGGCAAGCGCAAGGTCATGAGTTCGGTTCCTGGTACCGGAGAAAAAACAAAAAAAAAAAAAACAAAAAACAAAAACACAGAAATGATCAGTAGAGTATTTACTTAGTTACTCAGTTAAAGTAATAATAAACCCATGACATTTCCATGTTAACATAAATTCCATATTTTAATTAAAAATACAAATATTTTATTTAATATTTCTACTTGGCAGAACAAGAAAATTTTAATAAGAGCAGCATTATTTAACATTTTTGGCAAGTCTCTTTTCTCTCTTACTTGGTAGAAGGCAGTTGGTACCCACATCAGGTTCTGCATTCAGTCTGATGTGGTGCAGTGTTTGGTTGAGTAAATAATGACAATCTGGTTTACCTAGACAGGCAGCTGAGAAACGAAGCTTTTCAGATAATTTTTTTTTTCCTATACTGCTCTGCAACCTAACAATTAATAGTTTCCTAAAGGTTAGATACAATGTGATCTCTGTCACCATATCAATGAATTTGTTACACTTTGTTCCATTAAAATCTATTATTATATCTCACACTTTAAATGGGTCTTATGTCCGTGCACAATTTTATTCTTTGCATTGGTCTGTTGGAAAATATTGGTTCACTTAGTTATTTATAGCTTTCAAATCACTCGGTTCATGATACAATGTCAAAAAGTCATGCCAGCAATGATCTCATTAGAAAAGTCTTCGTGTATTGGGGTGCTGTCAAGCTTACAGCATGAATATAAGTTTTCCTAAATCCTAATCTTTGCTGGAAAGGTCATCTTCTGTCATTAATAGCCATAACTGTCAGTCGTCTGCACTGAAATGGCAGGCTCACTTTGTTCACTTTTAAAATATATTTTTGGTATATATTTAAGGTGTATAACATTATGTTTTAATGTGCATATTCATAGTGAAATAACACCAGCCAAGTCACTTAATATATCCTTCACTCCGCAGTTATCATTTCTGATGTATACTAAGAACATGTAAATCTACTTCTTAGCACATCTGCATTATAGAATACAACGTGCGATGGTTTAGATCTTGAATGTTCCCCCAAAGGCCCGTATGTTAAAGGCTTGAGCATCCCCTGATGCTATGAGAAAGTGGCAGAACTTTTAGGAGATGGGCCTGGCAGAAGGAAGTTAGGTCACTGAGGAGTTGCCACAGAGAATATTGAGACTCCAGCCTCGCCTCTTCCTCTTGCTTCCCTGCTGCCATGAGATGAAGTTTCACTGCCATCCACTCGTGCTGCCATGAGCTCGATGCTGGCACAGTTCCAATGTGACAGAGCCAAAAGCAACTATGGATTGAAATCACGAGCCAAAATATATCTTGTCTCCTTACAAATTGCTTATCCTAGGTATTTTTTTCCACTGTGCAAGAAAGCTGACTAACACAAACATTTGCTTTGTTTTGTTTTGTTGGTACCGGGAATCGAATTCAGGACCTCACACTTGCTAGGCAGGCACTGTGCCACTGAGCTCTATCCCTGGCCTTAACACAAATATTATTAGCCATAGTCCTCGTGCTGTACTTTCAATCTCTAGATTTACTAATGCTACATAGTTGGAGTTTTGTACCCTGTGGCCTGCATCTGCCATCCTCCCTACTCTGCCATCACCCCTGGTAACCGCACTTGTACTCTGCATCTCACAAAATGTCTGCAAACCCAATGCCACGTCACTGTCGTTTCACTGTAAGTCATGGAAATGGTGTTCCATGAAGAAAAGTACAAAGCCCGGCTGGCAATCCAATGTGGTCCAAGTGCTTTACTCGAGACAACGGCCAAACCCCCATACACAGCAGGATCTCTCATGAGTATTTCTTATTTCATTAAAAAACACATACTCAAGGGTCAGTATTTACCAAATTAATGACTTTTACTAGCTCAATAGAAAAATGCTATTAAATGCCTTTTTAAAAAAACTGCACATGCATTGGTATGTAAGGGCAAGCTTGTGCTAAGGCTCTAGCAACTGTACTCACCACCTCTGTTACACCATCAGTGCAAAGGAAACACAGAAAAGACAGCTGACGTCTTGGTATTATTGTGAATACAGTATTAACCTCATGAAACTCCTGGAAGAGCCTTGGGGATGCCTCCCTGAGGACTCAGCGAGCCGCAGTTTGAGATCCATCAGCCTAAATCATAGCCTGAAACTGGAGAAGGAGAGGAATGTAGAAGATTCTGCAATAACAATAAGCATAGCGCATATTTTCAGGAGAAAACTTAAAAATATGTCAGAGATCCCCTACAGTTCTCTCTGGTAGTACCGAAACTCCAGAAGCTGTGTTAAGTATTTCAAAAACCTTATTGAAAGGTGAAAGAATAAACATAAAAACATATTATGAGAACAAAGATTCAATCATGAACTGTGTGGCCTGTCTAGAAAACATTCATTATATGCATCTAAAATAAATGATGATTTTTTTCAGCAGATTATAATGTCTACATCCCAAGAGTAATGCTGCAGTTGGACTCTGAACACCATGCATATGGGTCAGCTTGTGTCATTCATTCATACTGCAGAAAGTATTAACTCAGTTGTGGCCTCCAAGAAAACAATACAGAATCCAAGGAAGAAAAACGTGATAGTGCCAGGATTGGTAGCACACGCCCGTTATCCCACTTGTGAGGCCGAGGCAGGAGGATCACTGCAAGTTTGAGGCCAGCCTGGGCTACAGAGGGATTCAAGTCCACTCTGAACTGCATACCAAGACCTTGTGTCAAAAAAGGAACACAGAATGCTGCTTAAGGAAAGCTCTTTCCATAAGTAGAGCCCACCAAACAGCTGAGCTTTCTGCTTTAAAATTTGCTGTGTGTTGAGCATTGCTCACTTTTCTTCTCCTGCCACACCCAACCTCTGGCATGTACACGTCTTTGGCTGGAACTTGCGCTAAGTCTTCTCTCCCTGTTTTGTTTTGTAGACTTTTTTTAAAAAGTATTGTTCAACAGAAAATGTAGTAAAATTGAAAGGGAAAACAAAGACACAAACAGCATGAAATGAGCAAGGTTTCTGGATTGTATAAGGTCTGTACTCCTTCCTTCTGTCAGAGTCCCTGGAATCTCCACCGCATTCTCCCCATGTCTACAGCTGCTATCCTTTTCTACTAGATACATAAATACAGCCTGAATTCAAGCCTTTGGCCTTCTTTTTTTTGAGACAAGCTCTCCCTATGCAGTTCAGGCTGACCTTGAGCTCACTTTGTAGCCCAGGCTGGTCTCAAACTCACAACGATCCTCCCGCCTCAGCCTCCTGAGTGCTGGGATTACAGGCATATACCACCACACCTGGCTCTGGCCTTCTCCTTACTTAGAACTCATACTCCTTTTGATTGTCATTAAGAAGAGAGCACAAAACACTTTAAACTAATGTCAGCTTGTCTTAGTTAAAAAAGATTATGTGGGGGTATACTTTAAAAGATGGCTCCTGAAGAAGCAAGAAAAATCTGGTAAGTAATTACCAGTGCACAAGGGACCAACCACTTCTGCAAGGGGGTGATGAAGGTGTAAGTTTCAGCACAGCAGCTTTGACCTGACAGGACTTTGGGCTTTCTACGGATAACCCCAGGCAACCCAATCGAGCAGATGAACAGGGGTTCAGTGTCTTGTTTAGTGATATTTTCTCTACTTCCTGTCCTCACACTCCATCCTTGCTCTTTATGTTTCTGTAGAGCAGAGCCTGCTCAACCCCTTCCTCCCCAAAACGGTCGACCCCAGAAGAAGGAAGGACGGTTCAGTGTGCTCAACCAAATCTTCTGCAAAAACAAGAAAGAAGAGCAGAAAGCCCAACAGAAGGATCACAGCAAGGACAGACCCAGTGCGGAGGACACCCCGGAAGCCGATGACATCACCACCACCTTTGACAGCATCATGGATACCAACTGCCAAGAACAGCCTGGTGACCAGGTGGCTATGGTTGACCTTAAGAAGAGGACCTCAGAGAATTCAAAATATCTCGTGCCAGAAAAGAAACTTCTGGCCCGTAAGGGCCTTCCGCCCATCAGAACGCAGAGTCTCCCACCCATCACCCTGGGCAATAATTTCCTGACAGCTTCCCATGGGGCCACTTCCCAAGCTGCCCTCAGCCCGGGCTCTCAGAATACTGCCCAGAGATCTCAGAAAAGTAGAAGTGAGCAAGATTTATTACATAACAGGACTGGCTGCCAGATGTTGCTAGATACCCCCTGGAAGGGTGATTCTAATCAGGTATTCTCCTACAAAGCTTGGACCGTGTCTTCTTCTGAGAAGCTGCTAGACAGGCTCCTCGCTGGCCGCCCAGGCCACCAGGAGCTCACTGGGCCACCACATCTTCCTCATCTACACAACCCTCCACCTGGTAATGTCCTTGCTTTTCTCTTCTTCATTCCTGACAGTGTCTGTAAGGAGGCGTCTCGTGAACTTCTAGGCTGCGGACTGGAAGGCCAGTAACCTACCGGGAGGGGCGTGATAAGATGAGGGATTAGGGCCACATCTTGTGTTTCCTGGGCCAGCACTGAGTTGCAGTTTTCTGGGCTATGGAAACATTGTCTTTGCACTCTGAGAGCAGCCAGGTTAACATGTGTGATGTGTTTTCCTGTCTTCCCAGCAAAGACGTATGGTGTCTGCTGGCTTGGAACAGAAGTACTATTTCTACTAAAAGGAATTGTTCACCAGGGATGGGGTAGCAAAATCACCTTCAAAGGGTTGATTCGTTTGTGTGATTGTTTTAAAATCAGGCATTCAGTCCCCACCCCTGACCTCCTGAACCAAATCTTGGTGAGGGAGGAAGGAAAATGGCAATCCCTCCTATATACATGTAGGTAACACGTGTGCTCATTTATGGTGTGGGTCTGAACACACACCAAGGGGTTGCATGGCAACTTTCCCCCACTGCTTCTTCTCTCAGTACCTAGTGCCCTGCGTACAAAGCTACCAAGGTCATTATTTCAATCTTTCCAGAGATATTTCACATATATATCTATATTAATGTACATGAAATATGTACACACCCCTTTTAAATAAATATATCACAATGAAGAATTTATATTTTATATACACACATATATATGTGTATAGTCTCTTCCTTATAAATACATGTATGGATAAATAATTTTGTTAGTACTGGGAATTGAACTCAGGACCTATACATGCTAGGTAAGCACTCTATCACTGAGCTACAACCCTAACCCACAATAAATAATTTGTTTTAAGCTTTAAAAAATGATTCATATGTGCTTCAGGTGACCTGGAGGCTAAGAATGTCTGGAGCTGCAAAACAGCTTCCAAAACTTTTCTGTCACATAGTACCTTGGTTTGCTTTTTAAATGAGTTAATTGCCAATATTTAGAACATGATATTTTATACAAATCCAAACATTCTAGCTTCTCTTGAGAAAGCTGAAAATCTGGCAGCAATGAACCCAAACTCTCCTGTGGCAATAATTGGCCACGAGTGAGCAACCACTGTGCCCTTGGACTCCAACTCTCCCCAGGGCAGCTCAGTGCACGCCACCTACTCTTCATCAAATGTCTCAGTTGTTGTTTTTCCTATAGCGAGGTTAAGAGACAACATGACCTATTTCTTGAACCCATAGTTCTGTCAAAATTAAAAAATGAAAGACTCAGAGGGCAGTCATTTTTAAGTAGAAGTGGCATGTGTCTTTTATAATGAGGGGAGTGCCTTCTTGTCTAATACGCAGGGTGGGAGCTCTCTTGTCTCATTCACGAGTCTGATCTGTGAAGGCCTTGAGGTAGAATAGGGTCCCTCATACGTATTTATACATATTTAGCACAGGATAAATATGGATAAATTCATTAAATCAATTTCCTAATCCGAGAAAGAACTCCAAGCAAGGTTTACTTCTTCCTCAAAGTACTGAAGCATTTGGCTGGTGGCTGGTAATGTTTTGCATTTCTCCTGCAGATGGATAACAAAGGGAATACATGGTTCTATCACCTTTTGACACATAGTGGCCTGTAATACCTCCACCCCGCCTGCTTTTTGAAGTTAGTATTGTCCAGGCCAAGCTAATACCTTCTTTTTTCGGTACTGGGAAATGAACTCATGACCTCACGTTTGCCAGGCAGGCACTGTGCCACCGAACTATATCCCCAGCCCAATAATACCTTCTTTATTTGAAAACTGGGGAGTCTTTTTCTATTCTATACACAGTCTTGGGATGTCTCTGTTACATGAATTAGGATTGGGTTCAGCCACCTGTGGTAGAAATTCAAAGTCACAATTGGTTAAACACACGTTTGCTATATTTATTAGTGAACCAGGCCCATTTTTGCCTACTGCATAGTGCATCAATCATTGAAATAAGTTTGGCACAAAGAAAAAGGTTTATTCATGAGGCAGCTAAGCATGGCAGAGGTGGGAGACCCAACTTTCAAATCTGTCTCGACAAGCGTAGTGTTTGTCCATATTTATGACTAAAGAAATGGGCTAGTTTAAGGGGTGGGGAAAGGTAGTTGGAGGTGAAATAATCAGCATTCTGTACATGCATAAGACATGCATGCACAGTCTTCATGGCTCTTCATGGATGCATGTTCAGAAAATGACTGCAGTAGCACTATCTAAGGCCTTCTGATATCAAAAGTTCACCCATGAACATCAGTGCAGGCCAAGAGTAAGAGAAAACAAAAGTAACCTTCAAGTTCTGAAAAGTAACCTTGGGAACTGTTACCATGATGACCCAAAAGTCACAGTTCTTATCTACAGCAAAGCTAGCAAGTGACTGATAATATATTGTCCAGCTATGTGACCTACAAAATTAGCAATTTTCAAGGCCAACAAAAAGCAGATAACTAAGGAGGAGCCTAGAGAGTCAGAGTCAGAGAAGTAAAAAGTAGAACAGATTGGCGGGCGTAAACGAAAGTATGTGTTTTCTGGTAATTATCAAAGGTGGGATCCTGTCCCCCCATGGAGTTTTGGAGGTAGATATCTCACTGTTTTGATGATTATGTTCTTGAGAATGTCTCCCAGGTCCTAGAGATGCTTCTGAGCAACAAGAGCTACCTGTATACAATTACAAAGTCTTGTGCTTAAAGCCCAGTTGTGGCCATCAAACAAGGGCTCAGTTTTATTTTCATACGAAAGAAGTTTGAAGTAGGCGTTTCCCACAACTTGGTGATTCCTTTGATCTGTGTGCTCCATAACCTAAGATATGGCTTCTACCCTCCCTGTGACTTCAGTCAAAGGCTGATGGATCAAGAGAAAGGAAGTAAAGATGAGGGTAAATGAATGTTCCCCAGCTGAATCAGCTCCCATTAAAAAGTCCCATAGGGCCCCCACTTCTGCCTGCTTCTCATTGGCTCAAATATTTGTCATAAGTTCATACCTACATACAAGGAAGACTGGGAATTTTAATCTTTTAGCTGGACATATTACTGTCTTTCCAAAAATTAGATTTCAGCTTCTAAGGGAAAAGGAATAGAAAACTTTCAGATTCTGTCCCAGCTGCCATCCAAAAATTTCTATTTTGTTTGAAATAAAAGGACATTAATATGAACTTGGTTTGGGGATTTGTTTAGTTCCCAAAAAGTAACTGGAAAAATCCTAAGGCAGCAGAACAGCACAAAAAAAGAAGTTGAATTCTCCAGAACATTCTTAAGAAATTAGCTGGTGTTTATATCAAAGCATTTCTTTTCAACCAGGATTTTTTACTGCTGATTATAAATAGGAGCCATTCCAGACAAGTGCAACATGATAAAATAAATCTCCCAAGAGTCTTCAGCCTATAAATGGCTTTAAATAATATGGATTTGCTAAAATAATTCAGTGATTGAGCAAATGACTCTTTCTTTGGAGGTGCTAGAGATTAAACCCAGAGCCTCATGAATGTGAGGTAGGCAAATGCTCTCCAACAAGCTACGGCCCCAGCCCCAAACTGACTTTAAATTGACTTTTTTCTCATGTTGAAACACAAAGCTGTAGGATTTTTAATAGAATGGATCTTAGCTATCCAATCACTTGTTAAGTAGTTACCAAGTGTTTATCACACTAACTTACCAGGAGGCAGTGTATAGCAACTCTAAAACCAGACTGAGTTCAAACTTCAACTTTGCCACTTACTTACTGGTATTTAATTGCTCTGAGTCTTTGTTTCCTCATCTGAAAAAAATGAGAGAAAAATACCAAACTATAGGACTGTAGGTAGCCATTAAAATTAAAGAAGTTGATACATGTAAAGCAAGACAGTGACTTGCAAATAATTCTTTTCTTTTTTTTTTTTTTTTTTTTTTTTTTTTTTTGTCTTTTCAAGACAAGGTTTAACTATGCAGTTCAGGCTGGCCTTGAACTCTGTTTGTACCCCAGGCTGATCTCGAACTCCCAGTGATCCTCCTGCCTCAGCCTCCCAAGTGCAGGGATTACAGGCATGCACCACCTCACCCAGCAGATGCCCTTTACTTTAAAGATGATGAAATGTAGGCTAGATACAGTGGTATATCGCTGTAGTGTCAGCTACTTCTGAGTCTGAAGCCAGAGGATCCTTTGAGTTCAGGAATTAGTGGCCGAAATGTTGAAAGAAATAAAGGAAGGGAAAGAGAGAGGAAGGAAAGACTAGGAGAGAAAGAGGGAGGAAGGAAAAGAGGGACAGAAGGAGAGAAGGAAAGAGGGGAAAGAAAGAGAAGAAGAGGGTGGATGGAGGGGAAGAAAGAGGAGGAGAGGGAGTTACTTAAGGAAGTAAATGTACCCACCAACTTCTTGTCTTCCTCCTGCTCCACTCTGTCTTCAAGAACTGCTTTCTGGACCTCCTTCCAGCTGGCTTCCAGGTAGTTTGAGCCAATAGGAGGCACTGGAAGAAAATTAAGAGAAGAATGAAATAAGTAGGAAACCATTTCTCTGCAGGCACCGTCCATATTTCCAATAGGCTCCATCTCCTCCAGCTCCCTACACACAGCTCCTTGCTCTGTGGAGCTGGTTCCTGCTAGTATCTGGGCCTTGGTAATACTGTCTCCTCCTGCTCTTCCTTCACCTGAGAGGAAGTTGTACCATTCTGCCAGGGCTAGTTGCTGGATTGATCTTTCATTTTTTTCCCTCTGTTTGGCTTCCAGGTATAACCAATTTTCTATATGCAATTCCCTGTTTGGAAGACCTAGATAGATCTCTACTTTCCTCAATGAATCCTGATTGACAAAGAAATCAGGAAATGTCATCCCTTTGGGCCACAGTGATCTGACTGTCTGGAAACATGGGGCACTTTCCAGTTATAATTCATGTGACTTAGAAAAATTCAATGATTTCCTCAGTCTTACAGCCTATTAGTGATACATCCAGAACGTGAACCCAAAGCTCCCAAATGGAAGGTATCACCAAGGCAAGGTGTTTGTCTCCCTAAACCTTGAAGTCTAGTTTTTTGGTTTACCAAGTACCTAGTATGTAATTTTCATATCCATTACATTATCCTTCTCAAAATGAAAAGATTTCTCTGTCTTATGAATTTTATTTTTAAAAACCTTTTAAACTCAATTTGATGCTCTGTTTTTAGAACTACTGAGGCTTCTGCACTGGAGTTGAAAATGTCCAATGAAGTTTTTGTTAGTTTAAACAGGTTGAAACTTAACAAGTTTCTACACTGAGCTTCCATATTTTATGTGAAATCTTTTTTTAGGAAATTAACAGTGGTTGTTATATTGTATCTTGTTATCTTCAAAGTAGTTGTTCAGATTACCACATATAGTCATGCCAAATTGATCAATTAAGTATTAATTGTTCCTTTCAATAAACCAATAGATATTAGTAGCACAATTATCTTAGCTATGGTGTGTGTGTATGTGTGTGTGTGTGTGTGTGTGTGTATTGTTCTCTTCCTTCCTTCTTTCTTTTCTCCTTTCCCCCATCCCAGCTATTCTTTCCTTTTGAGCAGTTTCTTTCCCTTTCACAATATCTATTGTACCTTTCAGATTTTATCTACTCTTTAAGTTTCTTACACTAAGAAGACACATGTGAGTCTGAGTTATTTCACTTACGAGTATGGTCTCTAGTTGCATCCACTTACCCATAAAAGCCTCGAGTTATCTTTCTTTCTTTATAGCTAAGTAATGCTCCCTCAGACAAAGGACTTCTATCTAGCACATATAAAGAATTCTAAAAATCATACCCCCAAAATTCAAAGACCCAATCAAAAAATGGGCATCTGAGATAAATACACACTTCTCAGATAAAGAAATACAAATGGCAAACAAATATATGAAAAAATGTTCAACATCATTGGTCATTGGTGAGATGCAAATTAAGACAACACTGAGATTCCATCTTATCCCAGAAAGAATGGCTATCATCAACAAATCAACAAGTAACAAATGCTGATGGGGCTATGAGGAAAATATGTGAAACTTAAAGTGCTAAAGCAATTGGATGTTGTAAATCATACCACGGTGCCATTGACTTGAACTTGGAGAGTTCCTTCCTACTCCAAAATCTTTGAAGTTTCATATTCCAGGTTCAGTAGAAATAAAACGGCTAGCAGCGCTAGCATGTGAATTCTGGGTGGCTGCTATCCAGTGCTTATATCAGTAACCCTGAACCTTTAGCTTTAATGATGATTGCTGAACTTTTACTGAGACTGTTAGTAAGCTAGATATAAAGGAGATGGGGAATGAGACTTTACCTAATGAGACAGAATTTGGAGCATCTCAGCTTAATTCACTGTGATCAACTTTCAGAGAAAATGAAACAGAAATGCTCCTGCTTGCCTAGTTATTTTCCTGCTTCCTGGTGTTTCTTGCTAGCTACATTATTTTTAAACCACCACAAGAAAAGTAAGAAAGCGCTCACTTCCCTTCTTCAAGAAAGAGAACTTCCCTATCCATAACTTTCTAGACTATCCCAATGACAATGTGCTCTTCTGGTTGTAGAGACTGGCTCTTATGGCCCCTCTGTTTAAAACCACCAGTGACTTTTCATCTTCCCAAGACATAAGCCAGATCCCCACACTGAGCAAAGTGCTTACCACATGGTCAAGCCTGCTTCCCCCTCTTGGCTTGTGTACCTGCCATCTCAAACCCCTTCAACAGTTCCGTGAACAACTCTCAGTTCCTTGAAAATCTGCTACCTTTCCCCTATATGACATCATCGTGTATGTTTTTGGTTTCTGTCTGCTGTGTCCATGACAGAGTCCTACAATCTTTAAGAGCCAGCTCAAAACTCTCCTAAATGAGGGACACCCTAATCCCTATTGGAGGCATGCCTTTTTCCTACTATTCCTAATAAAATTACTTCTCCCATCTTGAGCACATTCCTTTCAACTGCACTACAGAGAGTTCTTAATCCCCATTTTATAAATAAAGAGACTGAGCCCTTATCGATATAAGGTCACAGATCTAAGAAGTGGCAAAGCAAACATACAAACAAGGTCTCTGTGATTCAAGAACATCTTTACCCTGGTGGACCCTCTATTCCCCTATGATGCTGTAACATACTTTATGGCAGCTATATTGGTCAGCTTTCACGACACTGAGACACAATGACTGACACCCGCAATTTAAAGGAGAAATTCAATTTGCCTCATGGTTTCAGGAGATTCAGTCCATAGTCATCTGGCTCCAAGGCAGAAACACTAGTACAGCAGGGAAATAGTGCTGGTGAGAAAGGGGTGAAGGACTATAGACCCCAAATAGACCCCAAAGTCAAACTTCCATGGCCTAAGACACACCCTGGGCAGCTTCCAAACCAATTACGTGAACAATCCTCTATAATCATCACAATAACACTACTCACAGAGCTTCAAAATTACAAGTTTACGGTCTTTTATATCATGTAAATCATAAGACTCCCCAAGTCCATTCCCATATCCTCCAATTTGTACCTTCTGGGACCTGAAATTCAGTGTGTTCTCAATAGTTGATTGCTTAATTTATTATTATTATTATCATTATTAATCTTTTATTCACTTTTGGTTCCTTCATGTAACTGTGGAAACCTTTCCTGCATTTATTCCAGAAAAGTAGTCTTCAGTTCTGTCCCCACAGGCTGGATTTTCTCTAGAAGTACCTGCAGCACCAGGAAGAGAGCTTTGGGCTATGTATGGCTCCACACACTCTTTTAAATGGACAAAACATCAGCATGGGATGAGGTTGAACTCTACTTCCTTCTCCTGAATCCCTGACCAGGCTTCTCTCTGCCCACTTCCCCATTCTAATAACATTGCTCTAACCTGGGAGGCAGAATAATGTAGATTTTAGGGTCAGAATGATCTTGCCTGGGTCCACATGATCTTGCCTGGGCCCACATGATGGGTCACTTCCCATCATGTGATCTTGAGCACATTTTAGAAGATCTTCAAGCTTCAGGGCCCTATCTTAAAAGGAAAGATGTGCCCGCAGCAGTTGGCCCAGTCCCACACCATAGTGAGTGCTCAATAAACATTATCTACAGTTAACCGTATCTCAACTGTAGATCTTACAAATTTCTGCCATATATTAATGTATAATTAAGATATGAACTGTTAAAAATGATATGAACTGATTTGAGTTCTAATGTAATTCAACCAAGAATATTTTATTACTAATGGATAATGAAATCATTTGATTTTCAAAATTAAAGCAATAATATATGATATATCCAGAAAAATGACATTTTGTTCAATCTCCATCAAATGACACTGCTTAGGTGGCTGTTCCTATACAATCTACCATTAGGGTCACTTAAGAAGTTGGAAGATAGATCTCGGTTGATGTTTTGCCACCTTGTGCTAAGGACTGATTTCCCTAAAACTTTATAACCCCTGGTTCAGGTTATGAGTAGTGGATTAGGTTTCTTTTTACCAGACAGTAGGAAAAAGATCATGTTTGTTTGTTGTTTTGCTTTACTTTGTTTTGTTTTGTGTAGGTTTTCCTTTTTTGTTTGTTTATGTGGAGGGTTGCTAATGTTGACTGAATCCTTTATTTGCAAGGCAAATATTTTATATTTGATCTCCAACTTAATCTTCAGAACAACTGGAAAAGAATTATTTTCACCATTTAATAGGAAATGGAGATTTAAAGAAGTTATGTCACTTGCTCACTGTCACTTAGTTAAAACATAGGGAAGAGGGGAATTGAGATTAATACGATCTGAGCCCAGAAGGGGAGCTCCTATACATTATGCTACTTTGTCAACTTTTAAAATATACTTAACTAACCTTTGTGTACTCCTTTCTATTTTCAGCTATCTAAAATAACCATTTCTTGTCTTCAGTAGTGTGTTGGATATTTATTACTGGCTTCAGGGAGAAAAATCAGTGTTTGCTTATGTCTATGGTATAAATACTTCCATCATGGCCAAGTTCAAAACATCAGGGTGGGCTGGAGATGTAGCTCAGTAGTCGAATGCTCACCTAACATATATGAGGCCCCAGGTTCAATCTTCAGTACAGGACATTTTAAAAAGATAATATGAACCAGTTCATAAAATTCCTGAATATGTAACTATCAGCTCTCGAGAGTAGGTTCAAATGTTCACACACAGCTCTAACACACAACTAATTGCCTACCACCAAAGTTAGAGAACAGTGATTTCCCCAGTGGTTAATTCAGCAGTGTTCTAGTCAGTGATTCACAATGTAGCTGCACATCTGAGTTACCTGGCAGTTGATGATCCTCTCACACCTCACCTCCAGAGATAGTCTGATTTAGTTGTGGTGTACCCAGGACAGCAATAATTTCATTTAATTATTGAAATTTAACTTCATCTAAATTCAGATCATTCCTACACTTGAAGTCAGCATTGAGAAACACTGCTCTAGGAAAAAGATAGTCCTACTCATCACTCACTCATCAAAGATGGGGTAAATTATGCCAAATCTATATTACCTTTATTCTTCGCAACTTTTAAGTTTTATAGAGCTAGGGACCAACTTTTCTTATTTATAAATTTTTATTTAAACTAGTTCGTTTAAGGGTGGGGGTATAGCTCAGTTGCACAGGCACCTGCCTGGCAAGAGCAAGGTCCTGAGTTTGATTCCCAGTACCAAAAAAAAAGAAGAAAGAAACTAGCTCACTTAGGGAATGATTTCTGGTACCTTTTCATTTAAACAGTGAGTATCATGTAATAAAAATGCAAGAAAATATGGCTACTGTTATTCTTTTCATTGTTGTTCCTAATACCTTAAATTTAGTGATGTCTGACAACTGTTATTCTCTCATTCTTTGAATTTTATAATTTGCACTTGGCTGAATCTTTAATGATTGATGCAAATATGTTCATCCCCAGGACAAAATCTTCAGCATCTCTCCCCTAACAGACTAAAAATCAGGGATCTTCCTTTCACTCGGAACAACCTTGCTCCGCTCCCAGACCAAAAATGTAAGTAGTATGAATCTTCCTGAGCTTCCTTTGTAACTAATAACATGCCTGGACATAACTAAAAGTTATTTCACTGCATTTCCATTTTTAAAAGAACATCAAGCTGGGTATGGTGGCACATGCCTATAATCCCAGCACTCAGGAGGAAGGAGGGTTGTTGAGAGTTCAAGACCAGCCTGAACTGCATAATGAGACCCTGTCTCAAAAAGACAAAAATAAAAATAAAAGAATATTAAGTGCCAACACTCGCAAGAAAATAGAGGCAATCTTCAAAGTTCCATTAAACTTAATAATGCTTTTTTTAATTATAAAAAAAAAAATAGTCTCTTCGTTCAGGAATTTTTGTGTTTGAAGTACAAAAACAGTAACAGAAGTTTGTTTTGCTATGTATTATTGTCTTTTAGAAGATGCTTTAAATATTCATAACATTGGCCTCTTGATATTGGTTTACCCACTGTGTTGGACACAGAGAAATGTGAAACATCCCTGTATTGAAGTCTATGAATTTCTAAACAGAAAAGGGATGCTGTTCATCAGGATTATTTTATTTATTTATTTGGCATTATTGATTTATTTTGTAATACTTTATGTCCGAAACATCCCAGAATCTTAAGAATATAAAATGGATTGTACTGGACCAGTGATCTTCAAACTTGAATTGCTTAAATACCACCTGCAATGCCTAAGTAGATTCCTGGGCCCAACATCTAAAGATTCTGAGTTTATATATTCGAAATATCTGTACTCTGAGACGTTTTATTGTTATTCTCATTGTACAGATGGGAAAACTAACTTCAGAAAGTGTACGTGACTTCCCCAACATCACTTAGGTGATAAACAGCAGAGCTAGAGCCAAAAACTGCAGGATACGAGTCAGCTGTCTTATGAAATAGCAGTGTTCTCCAGATTCTAATTTCCTTCCTTCTTTCTCCTACTCCACCCTGCTTATTTCCCCCTCTCCCTGTCTCTCTCTGTCTCTCTCTCACTCTCTTTCTCTCTCTCTCTCTCTCACACACACACACACACACACACACACTCACAGCGGACCCCTCTTAATTGTAGATTAGATAATTTAAAGTGGCAGCCAGTTAAGACTGTTGGGAAGGTTCAACAACATATCTATATATGTAAAACACTCAGCTCACTGTTTGCACAGAATAAATATCTAAATGCCTTTTCTTCCCCAGGCTAGTGTTTAGAGAGGACCACCTAAGAGTCCTAGAACTCTTTAGGCAAAAACAATAAACTATGGGATGTTTGTAGAGCCTCCTCTTTTTGCGGATAAATAAACTAAGAGGTGGAATCGTTTGTTCCAAGTCACAGAGTTAGAAACAGAAACTTAGACCTCCTCCTTGGTGCAGAATTCTTTTCGCCCTGACTGATGTGTGCAAAGTGAGAGTTTGGGATGGTGTTTATTTTTAGCACTACATGAAATTCAGGTCTGAAACCATCTTTAAGCAGAACTGTAGCCACGAAGCCATCTAATTAAGGAGAGAGTCCTCAGACTTGAAGAGGTACGTGAGACAAGCCAAAGAGAGGTTTTCTTTGGCAGAGCTCAGACACTTTGCTTTTCACAATATTCAGGAGAGAAGACAAAAATCTCTGGTCACTTTAGAGAGAGAAAAAGAACGCTGAACACTTCTTAAAAGACTCTGAGACCGTTTGGAGGTTTGCATAAAGGCACAGTACAAATGTCCTAGCAAATTTGGAGTAGTGTGCTGAGCTGACCATCCACAGCTGCTCCACCAGGCACGCAGAGGCCAATCACATTGTGAGCCAACTTGGCTTAGTTTTGTATCTGTGCACATTTGAAATCCCTGACCACATGTGGTGAGCTGAATACACATACATACACAGCTTTCCTCTGCAGTCCAGCTCTCAGCAACACAAGCTTCATCAAAATCCCCTCCTGCCTTAAAAAATAACCCTGTTTTTCTACACAGTTCCTCAGGAGCACCTGAGACAAGAAGTTCTTAAACTTACCCCATTCTGTTCTTTTTCCCCAGTTCTATCTGGAGAACCTCTACGAACAAACCGAGTGCTTCCTGCGATCCCCAGTCAACGGGGACACAGCACACCCACGGGGGCTAGTCTGCACTCTTCCAGTCCCACCAATAATGCAGATTAACTGTGTGCTGCTAACTGCAGAAATACAGATGTGTCATATATGTTCAGTTCTCAGAGGGCAAGACTACTCTGGTTTGTAAGAGCAAAGACTAATTTAGAAAGCTGTATCCTATAAGCCATTCACAATTTTATACTTCAAAGTTCCTTATTCCAAATAAAGATACTTCCTCATAAGCACTTAGAGTACAGTATTTCAGTGTGCATATATTGTAAGTCAATGACTTTATGTGACCTCCACATCCTAAAGTGTTTAAAATGTCTAAATGTTAAAATATTTAATAATACATAATAATACATGTATTATCTGGAAACAGCTATGTTTGGTTTGCTTTGTGGCATGTTTACTGTTTTATCTGTTTGCTGAATGATTTTATTTTTTTTAATGTGTGCTTTGATGAATAAAAAGTTTTTTAAGAGGATATATCAGACTAGTTCTTCACATGTATTGTAATTCTACATTGGATTGACAAAGCTTAATTAAAACTAGAGTAATAAATTCTTATAATCAGTCTGTGTTTTTTAAAAGTGCAATCTTCAGCAAAATATGTTCTAACACTGTCCGTTCCTGGCAACAGTTCAAACCACTTGACAAAGTTTATGTCTCTTCTTTGTTATTTGATCATTTCTACACACTGTTATTTTCAGATATGATTGGTTATTTCAGTAGTGAGCAGGTCATAAAAGCTGGTGAGGTGTACTTCCTGACCTAACAGAATTAAATAGGCATTTCTCACATGTTCCTCAAATTATGTATTTACTAAGTCTTTTTTTCTTCTTTTTCAAAATAATGGTTTCTGCCTACTTGAGACTTTCCCAAATCTAAGACTGAGCGAAGTTTTGAAAGACTCCTACTAAGACATTGCCTGCTGTGTGGAGAGACTGGGGCTACAGGCCTGTCTGTATCAAGGTCAAGGCTGAATGTCACTCACTGGACACTCACTCACATCAGATGATGTTCACTCACTGGGCCTAGTGGCAAACACCTGAAAGTCCAGCACTCTGGGAGGAGGAAGCAGGAGGATCACAAGTCTGAGCTCAACCTGGGAAACTTGGCAACTTAGCAATTTAGTGAGACCCTATCTCAAAATTAAAAAAAAAAAATTAAACTCAGGGATATAGCTGAATACAAAGGTACTGAATTCAACCCCCAGGACTGCAAAGAAAAAAAAGGATAATAATCATTCCAAATAATATGTCTGCATATCATTTTATAAGTATCTTACAATATTTATGACCTTGTATTAGTATTATGTGTTTAGAAATGTCAGACTCCACCATAAACTAGATAGAAGTTCCTCTGGAGCTGACAAACCAGACACTCAATCATTTTAAAAATAATAAGTTAAGATGGTGTCTCCCTGCGTAGTACAAGCTGATCTTGAACTCGGGATCTTTCTGACTCACCCTCTCAAGTACTGGGATGGCACATGTAGACCACATGGCTTCAATAAGTTCAATTTTTTCAGAAAGGAGGGAAGTAGAGTGGTAAAGAGAGTTGGAAAGGGAGGAGATGTAGGAAGTATAGAGGCCATAACTCCATTTTGACAATGGTAGTCTTTTAAATCAGAGATTATAAAACAGAAAGTCTGTATGTAGGCCAACCCCTCATGCTGAGCAGTAAGTAAAAGGAGGGCAAATCCTGGTACAAACGTAAGAGCTGTCAGGACAGCTTCTGAAGGGTTCTCTTTTTCTTGTGTTTGTGGGCTGTTTTTGTCTTTGAAGAATCATTCTTTGTAGATATCAGAGTGTTAAGCTGTCCAGTGTGTCACCAGGCTATCTCTGAATCTATGTCTATCCACTAGTAGATGCCTTGCCCTAAACCTCCCAGATTCATTGGGATAGATTAGCCTCTATGGGGGGGTTAACTCCAAAATCTCATCGGCTAACATTGCAGCTACAATACATACCCCACACCAGCTGCCACAGTTGGCTAAAGTAGATTCCATCTTGACGCATGCTTCCTTGATGATCAAAGCAGTGGAAACGAGACATGAGTCTCATGCTTTTTTCTCAGATTTAATTTGCCAAATCAAATCATGTGGACATGGCTAACTTAGGGGAAATTAGAATATTTATGAGTTATCAAAGATTACCAAACTGGGCCAGGGATACAGCTCAGCAGTATAGCACCTACCTAGCAAGCACAAGGTCCTGAGTTTGATTCCTGGCACCAAAAAAAAAACTAAATCTAAGATTACCAAACTAACAAAACTCAACTCCTGAGTGATCACTTAAGGGCACTGATAGGCCCCTCCACTAAGTGAATAACTAGGAAGTCAGAGCAATTTTTAAAAGAAGTCTACAGCTTTAGAAAATGTTATCATCCTGTAAAACATACCTGCACTTATTTATACACACAGACACAGGAAGAACCTGCCAATCTTGGGCTTTGACATCAAATTTTGTTGTTTTTGTTGTCTATGAAGAAGTAACATGCTACTCAATATCACTTCTTTAAATACAACAGTTGTCCTTACTTGTGAGGTAAGGTTGTTTATTGAGCAAATTCATCTTGGACAATATTTTGCTGGCCAAATCAGATATTAAGCACTATAGGTTGGATTTGAAATGGCCCTAGAGGCCCACATGTTAAAGTATTTATCCAAAACTTGGTGCTTTGGGTAAATGGTGAAACTTTGAAGAGGTGGGGCCTCATGAAGGTCTTCCAGTCACTGGGTGTGCTCTTCAAGAGGGTAGTGGACCCTGACCCTTCCTCTCCGTCTTTTTACCATCCTGGTCATGACATGAGTGTCTCTATTCATTTTGCACTCCTTCCCATGATGCACTGCCTCACCACAGGACCAAAAGCAATGGGGCCAACCTGCCATGGACTGAAACCTCCAAAACTGCAAGTTGAAATGAACCTCTTTATAAATTACCTCAGTATTGTGTTACACCAGTTAATGCCTAACTTTCAAAAATATCAAAGTCTTTTCTTGTAAAATGGCTTTCTTTTCTTGTTTGATCACACATCTTCCTTCATTGCTAAGAATATATCAATTTGTTTACACATATAAAAGTCATAACTTTGTGTTCATTATTTTACTTGAATTATTATGTCAATTTATAAGATAAACTTTTTCACCCTCCCTCATTTATAGACAAGTAATTCAAACAGAAAGAGAGATAATTTGACCAAAATCATACAGCAGGGCAGTGCTTAGAAGTAAGGTTGCTATAATCCCATAATCTATATACAGAATGCCCAAACCATCAATTTTCTATTCCAGAAAATTCATTTGCCTTTCATAGTGAGGTATACCTTCAGCAATGCCACTTTTCTAATTATATTTAGTCAGCTTGTCCATCTATGCAGGAAAAATGCAGCTGCTACTACAAATTGTGGAAAGTGCCCACCAGCCCAGTACTTTAGCAAAACTATTTAGTTTTTGAAAGTTAAAATTATGTATTTTTCCCCATTTTCCTTAGTTCCCTTTAGCTATCAGCTGGATTAACATAGATGTTCTTTCTTACAGTAAACACAACTCCAATACTGTATTTTTCCTGATACTAAGACAGTACAAAAAATTTCTGTGACTCCATCTTATTATACCTTCCAGCTGTACCAGAGGATATAGCTTGATACTGTGTATGATTTTAGAAAACTCCACCAAATGACTGATTAGAAATATAGTGTCTTCCAGAAAGATAAGCATAACCATTAATTTCGCTTTTGCTTCTACCCTTTGAAATCTACCAATGCATGTTTCTAAGCAAAGGCTTCCTAGCACTTAAAAGACAACCTTTTAAAAACAACTCTTTGAAATCCACCATCAGTTTAGGCTGGGTAACTAAGAAAAAACATATTTGATCTTAGCATAAAATATAGTATCCAAGTCAAAAAACTAAACAAATAAAGTAACATGATAACATTCTCCCAGATAGGAGAGAGACCCTCTTATCATTCCAGAGGAAATGATATTTCAATATGAAGACTTTCTATCAGAACTTCATAGTTCCTAGACTTTAACATAAAAATGTTAATACTGGTAAATGAAGACTATCAAAGCTATAGCTTTTCAAAGTAAATGACTTCCATTATGACCATTGTCCTCACCTAATCCTGTTTTTCTGAATTGAATGAGTTCCCCAGAAATCCAGTCTAGGCAGTCAGCAAGTAAAGTGTATGAAAAGATGAAGAGTTTCCAATCAGGATGTTACACTAGCACAACCGTCACTGGAAGAATAAAGGTAGTGTTCACAATGATATATGAAAAACAGGAAATAATTTGTTGATCATTAAATCTCTAGCAAAAATGCTATCAGCAGTGAGTGGTAAATCACCTTGCACGTTGCCAGTGGTCTACAGAGTAGAAACAATGGAAGCAAAAAAGGGACATCCTGTTCCCTTAGGAAGACAAAGTAAACTTTACGTGCGCATAGAAAGAGGAAGCTGAATTTTTGGAGCCTGAGGTCTGCCATGAGATGGGAAGCTGAGGTGAAGGACAAGATAGACTATAATTGGTCCTACATGGGCAGCAAATCCAAAAACAACTGAACTCAGATACAAACCATGAATAACGCATCTGATCTACTACTAAAAATGAACCTGGGCCAGAGATGTAATAATAAATGATATCAAATAATGAAGTAAGCAGACTATTTCCTTTGCTTCTTCTCATGGGACATAAAAGTACTCCAGAAAGACTTTTATGAAAGGTAATTACACTTACTGAATGCTTAGATACTGATAGTAAAAAGGTTGTTAGGAAGCAAAACCACATCTCAGAGCACAGACATCTGTAATGAGTGGGCTAAGGCTGGGCCTTAGGGACCTACGTCCTTTGATCAGCACTTCAGACCCTGGGTACAGATCGGGATACGGCCACTGCATCTTCTCCACATCACCCTTGCTCAAGAGGTAGCATTCATTATGATATTAAAATATCATATCTATCATCCCAATTTCGGGCTACAAGTATTATCCTTCTCCATTGGGTTAAAAAAAGAAGTTCAAGACCCTAAATGTAGCCTTTAGATCCATTACTGCTGGGCTAGTTTTCAAAAGTACTTGAAAACACTTTCTCAAGCTGCTAAACTAGGTAAGAGGAAAAGAGATTCTGAAAGCACATAAGAGAAAAACAATAAGCAGGAGACAAATCCAGCCAGAATTATGCTTTACAGTTAAAAGGAAGCCACTACAGAGTTTTCTCAGAGACATATAATAAGTGAAT